AAAAAAAAAAAAAAAGATACACTGAGGAGCTCCATAATCTTGTAGGGAGCAAGTGAGTAGCAGTGTGTCTGAAAGCTATGAAATATTGTATGGTGATAAAGATGGCTTCTCCCACACTGGACAACTTTCTGAGGCCTTAGCGACACATTGTTCACTCTTCCACCAAAGGCCATCTGTTCAGGTTGTTCCCTATGTTTATCAAAATCCTACTCATCAGATTTATATGTCCATATAAACAGTCTCTCATCTTCTTAGACATACTTGATTTCTCATCTTCTCTATGCCAGTAGTTTGTAGATTTTTCCATAGCAAAAGCAGAAATTTGTTACATCTTAGTTATATGTGAACACACGTAACTGCCTGAAGTCAAAATATTTATCGTTTTATCTGCCACTTTGCAAGCACAATGTCTGGTGTCAGTATGGGTACCCTAATGTGATTATCTAATTCATTGAAATATGTGAACTATGGATTCTTAATAATATTTTTTTGTTGGGTTGTGATATTTAGGTTAAAACTTCAACAACAAATTGTGAATATTGAAAATGCAGAGAAAGAAAAAAATGAAAATTCTGACCTGAAACAGGTATGATCTTAGCAAACATTTTGCTTTTATTTCTTTAAGTGCTTCTTTAAATCTGTATTTTGAATGTGTTTTTGATTTTTTTTTATTGAAGTCTAATTAACATACAGTGTTATATTAGATTGAGGTATACAATGTAATCATTCAATAATTCTATACATTACTCAGTGCTCATCATGGTAAGTATACTCTTTTTTTTTTCCCATCACGGTAACTATACTCTTAATCCCCTTTATCTGTTTCACCAGTTTGTTCTCTTTATTGAAGGGTCTGGTTTTTTGTCTCTTTTTTTCTTTTTATTTCTTAAATTCCACATATGAGTGAAATCATATGGTATTTGTCTTTGTCTGTGTGACTTATTTCACTTAGCATTATACCCCCTAGATCCATCCATGTTTTTGCAAATGGCAAGATTTAATTCTTTTTTAGGGCTGAGTAATATTCTATTGTATGTATATACCACCTCTTCTGTATCAGTTAATCCGTGGATGGACACTTAGGTTGCTTGTGTGTGTGTGTGTTGAATCTATTCACATTTCACATTTTGAAAATAGAATCATTACAATTGATAATGTATTGATGAGGTTGATAAAGATAAAATTTTTAAACCTCTTTAAGCTCTAGTTAGTAAGCTGCTTTTCCTAACTGCTGTTTTCCTTAAGGTCTTTATATGCTGTGACCCACATGAATTTTTTTAAATTGTAGTTTAAAGAACAGTATTTTAATATTCTGATTTTAAAAATTGATGAGAAAGATCATCTAGATTTTAAGTTCCATGTAGCATTGACTTGTAACTTTTTATTTCTTACTCCATGAGCTGCATCTTATTATATCCCTATGAAATGTGAAATCTAAGGGTGGTATTTATGGAAAGAAATTTATATTTAAAGAGTTATTTGGGTTTAAGAAAAATTTATATGGGCAAAACATGGAAGAGTGTTCTTTCCTTGATTCTATTTTCTTTTTTGTTTAAAGTTACGAGGTAGTGAAGATTCCATTTTTAGGATTTATGCTTGCAAGCTAGCTGGAATTGCTTTGCATATGCAGTTGTGGTTTCTAAGTCTCAACTAGGAGGACATAATGTTTGATACTCGAGAGAAGTTATTTAGTACCATATGCATTGGGCTTTCTGTCATTTATTAGATAATGAGAGATACTAAGCTCCTTGAAAGTTGCTTGTTCAGTCAACTGTAATACAGATTTAATATTTACAACTCCAGTTAAAAATAAAGACTGACTCGTTCTTACGGGGAAATTTATTCTGAAGTACAAATCTGAGACATACCATTTTACTTTATTATGACAATTGTCTTATTGGCTTCGCTGCCATCAGGAAATGCAGGAATTATTTTGCATTTATTCATTTTATTGAGTAAAGAATCTGGTTTCTTTTGACTCTTGAGTCTCATAATGGGTTCTTTTGATCCTGAGTCTCTTGATTCTCTCCTTCCACCTTTTCTCAGAGAATGGCTAAGAGGTAAGACAAGGTGAAAGAAAATGAGTATTTGCTGGGGCATCTGGGTGGCTCAATCAGTTAAGGATCTCTCTTCGGCTCAGATTATGATCCCAGGTCCTAAGATTGAGCCCCGCATCGGGCTCCTTCCTCATCTGGGAGTCTACTTCTGCTTCTCCCTCTCTCCCCCCCACCCCTAACTTGTGCGCTCTCTCTCTCAAATAAATGAATAAAATCTTTTAAAAAATAGAAAATGAGTATTTGTTAATTAATTGGTAAAATGACTTATGGAGGAAGTAGGTATAACTGTGCTCCAAGTGAAGATTATTTGGATGTAACTTAAAAGCCTGTTAATTTGTAACTAGATAATTAGCTACTTTTCATGAGAAAAATTACTCCCAGATAAAGGTAAATTAGGATGGAGAAAAAACCTGAGTGACATTTCATGGTTTGATAAATGGCTCTACGGGCCAAGGAATCCTTGCCATTCTTTAAGTTTCTTAGAATATCTTTCTTCTGCCCAGTGCTGGATGTTTGGAATGCTTTGAAACTACTTAAAAACAATGTAAGAGCAATCCCTTCTGTGTTTATGATTCCTAACTATTTAGAAAGCAGAACTCCTGGAAGGGTTGCTGATCATAGGGTATATGGAAATGGGAGAATGGATTTCCTTAGCAGCTTTCCCAGCTGATGTGCTTTTAAAATCTCTTCTTTCCTAGGAGGCTATAAGAAGTTCAATGGAGAATCTCTCTAATGGTTGGATTCTCCTTTCTCACTTCTCTCCTCTCCTTCTTATAACCCTTTTCCTACTCCCAATACCTCTTCCGACCTACTTATTTTGGGAAGAAGAGGAGAGGACTTAGTGGCAGACTAAGGAATCTGGTTCATGATAGTCTCTGGTTATATTAGGAAATGATCCTATACTATTGGATCCTCATGATGCTGCTGTTTGTTATTTAATTTCAGAGTGTCCTCAAGGACACATCAGTTGGGTGGGGCATTTGTGAAGGAAGATGCTTACTATCCTCTTCCTTTCTCATATGGTATTACATATGCGGCCTTATGTTTCTCTTTCCTTTCTTTTAAGCAAATCAGTAGTTTGCAGATCCAAGTGACCTCGCTTGCACAGTCAGAGAATGAGTTGCTGAATTCAAACCAAATGCTGAAGGAAATGGTGGAGAGGTTAAAACAAGAATGCCGAAATTTAAGAAGCCAAGCTGAAAAAGCACAACTAGAAGTTGAAAGGTAGAGTTTGCTCTTTTTTATATACAAACTACTTCTTCTTTCTGCTATATTATATGTAGTTCCTCTAGTGATGATTCCAGTATTGAATGTGTTCTGGGAACTAGTTACAAATACCCTTTGACAGTGTACAATGGTATTAGGTAATGTACTTCGTTTCTAGAGAATGAGCTTTATGGACTCTTGAATTTTTTTTTTTTTTTAAGGCATTTAGGGCAGAAGACTTTTAAAATTCTGCCTAACCACGATATTCTGCAAAACCTCAGAGAAACACTTCTTTAGTCATTGAGTAAACCAATACATTAATACATTTTTTACTTCAAATATCTAAATTCTTCTTCTGAATGCCAGAGAACAGAAAAGAAATTCTGTGACTTGCAAAACTCCCTAAAATTAGAACTGTAATCTCTTGGATTTTTCCTTTGAATAGTTCATTTATTTGTTTATTTTTTGGCCTTGAAATTTGTTAGTAGTAGACAGTGTATAGTAAACTGGCAAGGAGGTGATTTTGGTAATATTCAAGCTCTTATATTCTCTGGAAAATTTTGTTTAGATATGATAGAAAGCTGCTTTTTTGTATTTGCTTTGTCTTGATAACATGTTAGTATTTTTTTTTGTTTCTACAAAACATTCTTTTTGGATTTTCTCTTCTGAAGGTTACTTTGCCACATAAAACTTTTTTTTTTCCTTTAGTTTCTCATTATTTCATATTTTAAGGCTTTCCATAGTTTCACACATGCAAATTTTAAGAAAAGAAAGTAAGCAAGGTGTTTGTCCATAGTACATTGTGACATTCCACAGGGTCCAAATTCTTTTGCTTATATTTTGCAAAAAATAGAAATTTATATCTTGGAATCCCCAAGTGTTTGATTAAAATGCACTTAAGAATTGTAATGACAGTATGCCTAGCAAATTTAAATAATTTATCATTGGTTTCTGAATGTTACTCATAGGATTATATAGTAGAAAATAGCTGGATTAAGTGTTAATCAAATATGATTTTGGTCCCAGCTAAAATATTTAAAGTCTTGTATGACCTTAGACACAAAATCTGATATCTCATTTTATAAATCTCCTTTGTACTGCCATATTATATGTAGTAATGATACTAAAAATTATGCAAGGTATGCAGAAGAACTTTAAATATATAAGTTGTTATAATATCTTAAAATACCATTTATATGAATTTTATTCTATTCAGAAAACATCCTGCGTTGATTTTTCAATCCTGGGTTGATTTTTAGCCAGTTTTATTAGACCCAGTTGGTTTGGTTTTTTTTAATGTTTCAAGTTTTTATTTAAATTCTAGTTAGTTGGCATATAGTAGTTTTAGTTTCAGGAGTAGAGTTTAGTGATTTATCACTTAGATATAACACCCAGTGCTCATCACAAGTGCCCTTCTTAATACCCATCACCCATGCTAGATTCAGTTTTTATAGCTTGGTGGTTATCATGGTTCAAAGCTGGTTATCAAGTGTTTGTCCTGCTGTTAATTAGGTGTAAGTCTTAAGCAGACTCCTTGATGAGCAGAGAGCCCGACCTGGGGCTCTATCCCAGGACCCTGAGATCATGACCTGAGCCGTGGCCAGACGCTTAATCCACTAAGCCACTCAGGCGCCCCCTAGGTGTAAGTCTTTAAGCAAATTTGTTTACTTTCTAGGCTTCAGTTTCCTTATCTATAAAATGGAGATGCTAGAAGTACCTAACTCAAGGGGTTATTGTGAAGAATAAATGGCGTAGTATACACACTGTTGTGAGCACAGTGCCTGGTTCACAAGAGGTATTCAGTAATGAGAGAATTAGCAAATACGTGACCATGTAAGAGAACCTGCAGTTGGATACTTAACAATGTAGTGAAGCAGGTAGTGAGTTTGATTATACTTGGAATAATATCTATTTAATCTTAAGAGTTAACTTCCGTGTTTTGCATACATTCTTTTGACAGGACTTTGGAAGAGAAACAGATACAGTGGTTGGAAGAAAAGCATAAGCTTCAGGAACGTATCACTGACAGAGAAGAAAAGTATAATCAAGCTAAAGAAAAACTGCAGCGAGCTGCAATTGCCCAGAAAAAGGCAAGTGGTTCTTATTAAAGTGATTGCTATAGAGTAAAATATAATTAACTCTTCTGAGAGAATAAAATGTAATTAAAACTGAGATTTCATGTATGTTTAATTTGATATTTAAACGTGACATTTTGCTGTCAACCTTGCAGAGATAAATTGGGAAAATGCAAACTGCTCAACAGGTTTATTTCTAAATTTCTTGTTCCAATTCGGTTTTTCAGAGCCGAAATGCATTTTCCCCATGGTGTTTTTTCATTGATAAAGTTTCTAGACCAGCCCATATAAGTCTTATTTAACTCATTCTGCACTTAATAAGATTACAGGGCGATTGGGTCTGTTTTAGCTATGCTTAACTAATACTTGTTTGTAACATCCTTTTTGTGGTTAAAATGCTTTTTTTTGTTTCCAACTCAGAAATGAAGGAGCAAGTATCTCCTTGCCCCAGGAGAAAGTTGCCCCCCCCCCCCCCGCCCCGGCTTCTGAAACAGCCGTTATAGTTACCACAGCTGTGATCTTTTTTAAGTTTCACTTTGCAAGCGTATTTGCTCCATAACCTAAAAACTTTGTTTTCTTGGAAATAGTTCAGAGCATCATGGAAATAATGTAATCAGATGACTCATCTAAGTCAGTGGTTTACAACTTCTTTTCTATTGCAGAAAACCCAAGGAATGTAGCATGGCCCCATCAATAACCATGACTCATGGTGCAGTGATTCAGCACTTATTTTCAACAAGATTTGGTGCATGTGTATGGAAGTGGGGGGTGGGGAGTAGCATTAAAAAAATCTCATAAATGATGTAACATGCCCCCATTTGATAAGTTCCATTAGTAAGGGCATTTGTTTTGGGGAGGCAAGAAGGTCTGAGATGAGAGGAAGGCGCTTCTAGGCATAGGCACACCAGTATCTTTAATATTAGTCTGTATGTTTATTGGGAAGGTTAGCTCTTCATATTTGCATAAGAGAAGAGAACTGTATATCATTTACATATCCTGAATTTGGAAACCAAAGACACAGTTCCTAGTCACCCATTTATGGTAACTGGATCTAACTGCCAAATGCATCCTGATAGTTGGAGTGACAGTAGGAGAAGTCTACAAGTCATTGTTTCCCCACTTTCTTGATTTCTGAATATTGCTTCTCTCTTCCCATAATGCTGGAAGTAGTATAACATTGAGATTAGAAAACAGCATTTACTGTCTGGGACTCTCAGTGTTTTATACTCAGATACAAACACTGTCTTTGATTTTCCCCCTGTGTCTATCATTTCTTTTTCTTTCTGTCCATATAAGTACTGAGTACTTATGGGTATTAATGGGATTTCAGTGAAGTGTTTTATGGCTTGGGATGATCTTAGAAATTTTACTTATGGTAACTTGTACTGTTTGAAGCCTAGAAGCATCTAAAGCCAGATTTTAGCCAAAAATCGGTAGAAATTATAAGAGCTGATTTTCTCTTTCACAGAGAAACGTTTATGTTAAGATTTTAGAGGTAAGTATTCTAGAGATCAGATTCTAATTACTACTGAGGTTAGTTTGGGTTGACTTCTTTTGGAGCAAAAGTGACATCCGGTGGTGAGAGAGATTACCAGCTAATCATAGGTATACTAGAAAGAGGGGAAGAGCTGATAATTTAAGAAACCTGGCAAAATAACCTTTCATCAATATTGTGACCTGGGGTGAACTTTTTTTTTCTACTGAAATACCTGCCAAATGATGGGTGTGAACATAGGAAATATCCATATCATTTTAAGAAATATGATCTGTGAGTTATGATTTTAAGTCATAGGAAATTGTTAAGTTCAATTCAGTGAATAATTATGACCCAGAGCTTGTGGGACACTTCCTTAGAGGCTTACAGCTTTTAAGTGGGAAAATAGACAATATATGTTACATGGAAATACTATAAAAAGTCTGTGAGTACATATAATTTTAGGGCTGGGGGATTTTAGCATTCAGATAGTTCTTATAGATTAGGCAACTGAAGTTGTAGGTAGCCAAGATTACTTGACTAGTAAGATTCATTGCCATAACTAAAATTTACATTTTTCTGTTCTTAATCCTGTGTTCTTTCTGTGCTTTTACTCTTTTAATTTCCCAATTTCTTTGATTCCAAATACTTAACTGCTTTTTTCTTCATTGTACCCATATGGGTCTTATTTCTCGTGGTAGAATAATCACTATAAAGTTAATTTCTTTAATTCAAACTCTTTCCCATTCAAGTTAAAGATAATGCTTCTAAATGAAAATTTTGGCTGTAAGATTACACAAATAATTCTTAAGAGTGCAATAGACTTTTTAAGTTCTTTACATGACAAAAATCATAACTTTGTTATGCAGTAAGACTTAAAACAAGTCAGAAAATATTAACTGTAGGGCAGAAATCATAATCCTTTAGTGTGTGATTCTTATAACTGGGGAGTAACAGCTTTATTTTTCCCCTGAGGCTAGAAAAGATGGCTTACTGCCATCTGAGTATATTTGTTTATGCACAAAGCTTATGTCATTTCTGATAAGTGTTTTTGGGTAAGATCTTTGTGTAATGATATTTTGCTGTGTTGATTTGTTTGGAAAAACTTGACCAGGTATCTTGAGTTGGAATGCCTTTCTGTGACTGTTGGCTTCTGGGTATGTTTTTCTCTATACATTGTTGAAGTGTGAGTATGAAGAGAGATCTCTTGGTTTGAGCACAACGGGTTGTACTTTTCCTTTTGAGGCACTTGAGATGACAACTTGTTATTTATATTCTAAGGTATATTTCTCTGAAATTATTCTTGATTAGATTATTGTTATGAATGTTTTTGGGGAAAAAAAATGAACTGTAGTCTTGAAGTTGTAAAATATCTGTTGAATATGTTGTGTGGCCTAGCATTATATTCTACACATAGGGGAAAATAGAAGCCATGATTAATTCCTGCTTTTGATGACCATATAATCTAGTTGGAGAAATAAGATACATGCAATACCTAAAGAATACTAATAGTCACTCTCAGGTGATCTGTTTGGACACTAAAGTTTGAGACCAGGTTCAGGGAGAAGAAAGCCTGAAGACAGGAAGACCAGTTAGGAAGCTATTTTAATACAATGAGGTAAGAAGTGTGGAATTTGGGCTTGTGATATAGGAATGAAGGTAAAAGGTGACACTTTAGAATTATTTTAAAAGTTATAGCATATGGTGCTAAATAAGAAGGAAGAAAAAATATGAAGTGTTTTAGTTGTGAGAGGATATAATTGGAGTTGTCATGATGGAGTAGAGAGAGAACACATGTCAACTGGAGTAGAAAGAGAAGATAAGTTCCACCAAACACATGTCAGAACTGAAGTGAAGGTGGCACATCCCTGTACTCATGTCCCAGCCTCTTAAGTGAGGGTACCATGTAAGTAACTAGAAATAATGGAATGTAAAGCATGGAGATCAGTAATTCAGATTAAAGATAAAGAATTAGACCCTTGAGATTTTGGAGATGACTGAAGAATAAAAGGACTAAGAATTAAGTTGACTTAGAAAGAGGAACTAGATTTAGTAGAGGAATGGTCATAGAGGTAGAAGCTATGGTATGGTGTTGTAAAAGTCACAGGAAAAGAAAGGTATCAAAGATAAATGGTCATTTAGCATGATTACTGAAAAGAGTTCATTGAATTTGGCAATAAGGTGGTAAAAGAGGAATCCCAGGTTTGGTTCTTGTATTAGTGTTCTTTTGATTTTTCTATTGCTCCTTTGTGTTGTAATAATACTTGTAACACTAAGGCATCCACTTGACAATCCTGTGATTGTATTGGACCACTAAAATCAAAATTAAAATCATTCCTTACAGCCAATTTCCCCTCTGAACTTTCATTTCTTTCAGTAGAATGTCATTATTCCTATCACTTATGCTTCAAACCTTTGATTCACCCCTCCCCCATATCTAGTCACTGTATTGGTTTCCAAGGGCTGCTGTAACAAATACTGCAAACTGTGTGGCTTAAAACATCAGAATGGTATTATTTCATAGTCTTGGAGGTCAGAAGTCCAAAATCAAGATGCCTGTAGGGCCATGCTCCCTCCAAAGGCTGGATCTGTTCCACACTTCTCTCCTAGCTTCTGGTGGTTGCTAGCAATCCCTGAGTTTTCCTTGGCTTGTAGGCATATCATTTCATTCTGTCCCTCTGTCCTCATCTGGTGTTCTCCCTATGTGTCATGTGGAGTTTACAATAGTTGTAGAGCATGAAAGATGTAAATCAAAGATGACAACTATTCATTGTTAGTCTATGAATAACAAAAGACACTCCTGTCACTCAGGAAATTCCAAGGATTTTAGGAACTCTGTGCTAGAAACGCAGGACAAAGACCAAATAAATTTCTTTCTATATGATGGTCACATTCTGAGGTTCTCGGTGGACATGAATATTTGGGAGACACCACTCAACCCAGTACAGTCACTCGGGTGTATGAATTCTTCCTTTATAATGTGTCTTGCATTTTTTCCCCTCACCTCATTTCCTTTTATTCCTGTTGCTAACATCCTAACTCAGGCTCTATCCACTACCAGGTTTCTCTGTATTCATTTAGCCAATTTATTCAAGAAATTTATTGAGTACCTACTTCTGTATCCATCCGGTAGTTTCATTCACTGGAATAGAGAAATAAAGATTGTGCTGAGGAGTTTACGTTGCAGTGGGTGGATGACAGAGTAAAGAAACAAATATTTGTCAGGTGGAGATGTGTGCTAACAGGAAAACTAAGGGGGATAGAGGGTGCTTTTTTAAATAGGTGGTCAGGGAAGGCTTTTTTGATAAGGTAACATTTGAGCAGAGACCTGAAGGGAAGATGCCGTGTTCTATATGTAGGGGAACAGTATTCCAGACAGAATAGCAAGTAAAAAGAGAGTGGCAGGAGTCTGCTTTGTATGTTGAAGGAATGCAAAGAATGAGAGCTAGGTAGCTGGAATGGAGAGAAGTAGTAGACCAGGTGATGTTTTTATTCTTTGGTTTTTATTCTAAATGTGGTAGGAACACAATGGAGAGTTCTA